GACATAAATATAGATATAGATATATGTACAGATAGACATAGATACAGATATTTTTAAAAAATATATATTTTTTATATATTCATAGAGAGAGAGGGAGAGGGATAGATAGAAACATACTTGAAAGAGTATCATCGAATGGCTGCCTACACCATGGCCCCCTCTTGGGATGGAGACTGCAATCCCACTCATGTGTCCTCATCAGGAATCAAACCAGTGACTTCTTGGGTCCAGGGTCAAAGTTCAACAGCTGAGCCACATGGGCCAGGCTGGATCTTCTTTTCTTTATTCTCACCTGAGGAGGTGCTCATTGATTTTTTCAAGGGAAAAGAAAGGAGAGAGAAGTATTGAGCAGAGATGTAGAGAGAAAAGAAATATTGACGGCAGAGAAAATATTTATCGGTTGCCTCCCATAACTGCTGAGAATGGGAATCAGACCCACAACCTTTACATTTATTTATTTTAATACTAGAGGCCTAGTGTGGGAATTCGTGCATTTGTGGGGTCCGGCTGGCCCAGCCAATTAGGGTGGATCGTTTGGAGGGAGTGGGGAGGGTGGTTGGCTGGCCAGCCCTGACCCTGGTCAAACTCCCAGTTGAGGGGACTATTTGCATATTAGCTTTTTAAAATATAGGATATATTTCACAGATTTCAGAGAGGAAGGGAGAAGGAGAGATAGATACATCAATGATGAGAGAGAATCATTGATCTATTGTGTCCTGCATGATCACAATTGTGTATGGAGCCCACATCTCAAGCATGGGGTCTGACCAGGAATGGAATCATAGGTCAAAGATCAACCACTGAGCTACATCAACCAGGCTTCATTCTGTTTTGAAATATATTTTCAGTTAGTTTAGAATTCTAAGGTGATGACTTTTCATTTTTTCTTCAGTACTTTAAAGTCATCGTTCCTTTATCCTCTGTTTTTTCAGTTTCTCATGTGACATTTGAGGTTCTCATTACTCTTTTAAAATTGTTGTTATTGGAGTCAGAGAGGTAGGGAGAGGGAGAAGGAGATGGAAATATCAATGACGAGAGAATCACTGATCGGCTGCCTCCTTCATGTCTCCTACTGGGGATTGATCCTGCAAACCAGGTGTGTGCCCTGAATGAGAATCAAACACATAACCTGGTTGTTCCTGGGCCAACACTCAACCCCTGAGCCACACCGTCCAGGCTCCTTCCCTCTCTGAGTAGCATGTACTTGACTCGGGTTCACTCAGTTGCTGCAGGTCTCTGTGTTTGAGAGCCTGACAGATACCAGTTCTGATAGTTTCGGTTTGTTTTTTGTTGTTTTGGTGAAGGATCAAGAATTTGGAGCTGCCTACACCACCATTTTGCTTCAGCCCCATCTGCTCAGTGACTCCTTTTCAACAAACAGAGAATGAGAAGGGAGAAGAGCAACCACCCAGAGATCTACCAACAACAAAGAAAACAGATGACACAGCGCCCATT